TCTCTCTCTCTCTCTCTCTCTCTCTCTCTCTCTCTCTCTCTCTCTCACACACACACACACACACACACACACACACACACACACGCACACACACAAAAACAGGCACCGGCAGGACACCGAAGGGCCTTTTGAATCCTAACAGGCGGATTGTAGAAAGGACAACGGAGGAGGCGGCGGTGTCACCGGCACTCAGCACTCAGCCTTTAAGCGCGACACGTGTATATCGAACGATCTGGGATGAACTAGCAACGAGTTCATCTCCAATCCACGGCCGCCCGCATCCGATTCGCCTCTCTGAAAGATCCGTCTCCGAACCCGCCCAGGCAGCATCGCCCCTATGCACGATTCATCTCCACGGCCGCCCCGGTAGCATCACCCCTCTGCACGGCGACTCGTCTCCCCTCCACGGCCGACCATGGAGGCAGACACCATTGCCCCCCTCTGCTCTGATTGTCTATGCACCCCTCAATATCGCCCCCTTCCCTGTGAAGAGTCCATCTGACTGACTCATCCGCCCTGCTGCAGCCAGCAAGGCTCCGTCTCCCTGACCTGCTCCACTGCAGGCAGGCTTGAATACCCAGCTACCCAGCTCTTCGCCCTACTGTTGAGCCACCCTGCTGGGAAGCATCGGCTGAAAAGGAGAAAGGGAGGGAAACAAAAAAAGGAAAAAGGAGAAAAGGAGAAAAGCAAAAGGAAGAGAAAGAGGAAAAGAAAAGTCGGAGAAATGTGGCATGTGGCATACTTCTTTTTTTTTTTCTCTTTTTTTTTGTTCGGGTGCGAGAACATGCACGGTGATGGAGGGGGCAAATTCCCGAAAAAAAAAGAAAAGGCCGGCGCATGCTTTTTTCTGTTTTTGGTCTCCAAATTCGTGCGCCCTTTTAGGGGCCTCCTCGTCTGATCCACCACTCGACCAAACATGTACAAGGTTTTGCTCCGCTAGACAACACTCCATACATGCATCTGGACGCTTTATGGTAACGGATACGTCGGACATTGGACGCCTTCTGCAACGGATACGTTCAACATGTGGGATTCGGCTGAGCGCACCTGGTCCACAAAACATCGAAATTCATGTAGAGTATTGTGTAGTGGAGCGACGCTCCCGAGAGAGGGGGGCGTCGCTTCACCACCTCACCACACACACGTCCGTGTTTTTTTTTTGTTTTTGAACCGTGGGTTTTTTTTGTTGAAAGCAGGGCCTCGCCGTACCGCTCGCCAAAAGCCAAGACAAAAACAATACTCGAAATGAATCTGATCACATCCGTTGACCTGATGCATTCAAAATGTTGGCGTTTGGCGAGTGGTGAGGCGAGGCCGGCAGCCCGCGGTGACTGCTCGCCACTGGCATCTTTTTTTTTTTTTTTTTTTTTTTTGGGGACCATTTCTCGATTTATGCGTGTCATCTTCTCAGCCAATGAAACGTGGTGAATTCACAGCCAGGAGGCTGCCCCCTCTATCGTTTGCTTTTTGCCTTTTAGTGAGGCTTTGCCATTTATGGTAATATCGTTGCATGCAGGAGGTTGTGGGTTTCGAGCCCCACAACCCCCTGTGGTGCACTTAGTGCCAACCAGCGGCGATAGTACGCTTGATACCTCTGATAGGTAATAGCAGGGTCCTTGGCCAACACGGGTGTGAGTGTGAGTGTTTTTTTTTTTTTTGAAACACCCCCGCTAGTGTTAGTGTTAGTGCTGCTGATAAGAGCAGACACCACTAACACCTGGGAGAGGCTCCGTCTATTGGTGGGGAGCGTCACCTGCTGGAAAACGGGTCCAGCTTCCCAGATACAAAAAAAGAATGTCTGAGCAAAAGTGAGGACGGTGACTGTGGGGCCTGGTGTGTGGGAGAGTGTTGGCCTTAGACACTGCTGTCATTAGGTTGGGGGTGGGGGACGATGAAAAGGGAGGCGCAGCTACTGGCAAAATGCGACGTCTTTGGGTTAGCTAGCCGGACCCCCACCGGCTACCCCACCCCATCCTTGACCACCATGGTTAGGGCGGGGGGCAACATCCATCCCCTATGATGGCTGTAGGGAGACAACAAAGCTGTGTTTGCAGGGATCCCCTGTCTAAGCCTTAGGAGCAGTGGTAGGTAGGTAGTGAAGGTGAATTGAAAGAATTTGAAAGATGACGACTGAAACGCATTTTCAAACTGAAACCGTGACAGTGCCCTAGTTTTCCCAAAATAAAAATAAAAATTGTCCCAACAGGCATGCTCACACCCAAACCTCTCAGGCGCTCTCTTTTGTTTTCTGGAACAAGGAGTAATCATTTATAACAAGCCGGGAATCGGGCCAGGCATCCCGCACAAGTTCGCCGCAGCACACAGGCTGAGCAAGGCTCTCCAGCCAAGCGGGGCCAGGGGCCCGACTATGTCGAAAAGCAACCCCTTGTTCTCATCTTCAAATCCCACCACTTATACTACCCACGTATCTCGAGATCCAAATAACAAAAAGCGAAAGAAAGAAAAGATAAAAGGGTGGGCCAAGGTAGTGATGACTAGAGGGACGAAGCGTGAGGCGGCGCCGAAGCGCTCAATCCTCGTGACGCTCGTGCGTTAGCGTTAGGGTTTGCAAGGTGCGCGGAGTTCACACGCCATACCCCGGCGCGCTCAGCACGGGGGAGGCAAGTCACGCAGCGGTCAGCCTCTTGGAGAGGCGGAGCAACAAGTGACAGAGCTTATCCGGGGCAGGGGCAGGTATGGTGGAGAGGTAAGGGAGTGGGTTTTTGTTGAATAGTTGAATGAATGTTTCATAGAAATCCTGAACAACACTGAACTACCATCGAAGCGAAGAGCGCCGAAGGTTGGCGCCCTTCTTATGGAACTGTACGGAACGACCTATCCTTGACATCTGGCTCTATGGGGCGGGGCGGGGCGGGGCGGGGCAGGGCGGGGTATCTACGGTGTATAGGGCTTACAGCTTATGTTTAACGTACCTGGTAGCCTTGCCGATGCGATTTCCTTATCAGACCGTTGAGCTAGAAGCATCTACGGCGAGCAAACTTTAGTTGCATACTTGCAGTGCGGAGTTAGGTGGAGCTTTCCCCCGACTCTGTCCTTTCCGAAAGGAGAATCTTTCGTTGGTGTGAGTGGAGTTTGTCGCTTCTTCTGAATCGTCTTATGCGGGAAGTGAGACAATAGAATGCTAGTGAGGTTTTTCCCGTGTAGCTTGCAGGCGGGCTATCCCTATCAAGCCGTTGGGTTGGGAGCATCTACGGTGGGAATAGGCACATACCTGCAGAACGGAGTGATGTGGAAAACTCTACTTTTTGTCCCTTTTCGAAGGGAGATTCCTACTTTGGCGTGAGGAGAGCTGGTCTTCCTTTTTAGCGTCCCGATTGGAGAAGCAAGAAAACGGGAAAGCTAGTGGAGGGGTAGCAGAGCCACCTGAATTGCGTTTCTTCTTCGAGGCACTCTTCTACTTCAACACCAAGATCAGCAGTTCGAGACTTTGTGATCGACGATCACGGTGAACCGCGGGAGCAAGGAGCGGTCGTTGAACTTCGAGAAAAATCAGAAGGGCGAGTGATCGAACCCTGCAGACAACAAGGGCGAGATCTCCATGCGAGCTCTGCAAGAACAAACGTGAGAGTCAGCAACAGCGAGGAACCACCGCCAATTCTTCGGATAGCCAGGAGCTCTGGCATAATAAGGATACTTTGAAGAAACGGCAGGATCCCGATGTAGTTGAACGTACGTTGCTTGAACTGTGGGTGTGAACTAAGATGGGTCTGTGTGATAGGGCAGTGCCATCGACCACAAAATGGTGATGATGAGGTAATACTATGGAGAGCGAATGATGTCGATCAGATTCTGCGGAATAAACATGATTATTCTCACAATCCAGGGGATGATAATGATGATAATGTTGATGATGCTGATGATGCTGCTGATGATGATTATGATGATGATTATGATGAAGATTATGATGATGATGATGATGATGATGATGATGAAGATGTTAATCATGACGAGGAAGATAACGGTGATATGGGTCGTTGGAATCAGAAGACTGGAGATGGCGAAAATGATGGTGAAAATCTGAAGTCTGGGTACGACGATAATGATGGTGATAATGAATCGTTGGCATCATTGGAATCACCTCAAAATGGTAATCGCAACCATGATGATGATGAGGAGGAGGAGGATGGGGATAATGGTGGTATGAATAGTTGGACTCTGAAGATTGGGGATCATGGCGATAATGAGGGTGATAATGAATCTTTGACAGCGTTGGAATCACCTCAAAATGGTGATCGTGATGATGATGATGAGGAGGAGGAGGAGGAGGATGGGGATAATGGTGATATGAGTCGTTGGAATCAGAACACTGGGGATAAAGAAAAGGACGACCATAACGCAGAACTGGGCGGTACAGTCCATTGGGATAAGAAGGGAAGTGAAGACAAGGGAGGGGGTTTCAAAGGTTCTTGCTACATGAAATGTAATGAGCACGAGGGCAAAGACAACAGTGTGGAAAAAGCTCGTAGCCGGCGGGGGAGGAGACGGGATTGGAGAATTCCTTAGTGCTGAGAGAAAACGTGTGCATGTGTGTGTGTGTGTGTG